GGACTATTGACTCGATTTTGACATCTGTTGACTTTAGGGTTTGGTCAACATGAGTATTGGAGACCATGGGGGGGTAAAATGGTCTTTTACCCATTTCTGTAAGTTAGAGAGAGTAGGATAACATTTGGTTACTTAGAGTCGAGAATCGAGTATTAATTAGAGATATGTATCCTATGTGTTAGGCGGCGGCTAGTTCGAGATTCGAGTTCAAGGATAATTTCTTGCTTGCTTGCAAGGTGAGCCTTCTCACTATACGTTACCTAAAGTGGTAATTATGTGTGACTAGAGGGTATTATTGAAGGGTTTTGAGCATTCTAACACTCCTAAGGTGTACATGCAACCCTAGAAACCTTGGATCTATGTTTGTCTAAAATACATGCAAATTTTGATTTTCAAGGTTCTTAATCCTATCTAGCATACATGTGGAACTTTAATCATAAAAGATAGCTAGAAATACATGCCTTGTAGTAATTTGGATTCCTTGAAAAACCTTGTGAGCCTAGCACCCCAAGTGTGATGCCTCAAATTTCTCACACAACACCAAATACACTTGGAATAAACTCTGAGAGAAATGTCACACTTCTAAAAGCGGCTTGCCCTCTCTCTTCTACCTAGTGGATGATTTTGATGAGCATGAGCATCCTTATATAGTGTGTTACAATTAGGGTTACACCATGTAAACCCTAATTGTCATGACCTTTCATTTCCATGACCCATGGGTCCTATAAACACCATGGAGAATCCATGGAGCATCCTATGAGCCTTAGCCCAATTGACAATCCATGGAGCATTAAGCCCACTATACAAGTATGAGTGATTTACACAATCAACCAATATATTTAATTAGTTACCTTTTGATCTCTTATTTAATTCTAGATTAATTCTGATCAATACTAATTAAATAATACTAGTATTAATATATTAGAACTTATAATATATTAATAAACCATAAGTGTTATTTCTCTCATTTTAGTCTATCCAAATGCATGATGCCATGCAACCCAAATGGACCATGCCAAACCGGGTCAAGTACATACCATAAATAGTTATGGACTTAGACACGTTATCCAACACTTATGTGCTTACTTGAGTTCTGCATTTTTCTGTGTGATATACATGCTATATTATGTGATACTGAGATAGGATCAGAGCGTCCAACGAGCTGTGAGACCGGAGGTCCTCACTGAGACCGGACCGGAGGGTCCAACTAGCTATGATACCGGAGGGTCCTTACTGATACCGGGCCAGAGGGTCCAACGAGCTGTGAGACTGGAGGGTCCCACTGAGACACATAGATCGGAGGGTCTTATAGAGTTATAGCCTCAAGTGGCTAATGTGTTGTATGTAGTATTTTTGGGGAACTCACTAAGCTTCGTGCTTACCGTGTTATGTGTTATGTGTTTTAGGTTTTTTTCAGGATCGTAGGAAGGCACCAACTTGATTGTACACACATGTGAAAGAGTTATATTTTAAAGATCCTGGATTTTCATCAAACAATTATGAAGTTGCGATTGTAAATTAAATAAATGAGTTTGTTGTGAAATGTGTTATGAGCATTATGTGATTTTAAATGAAAATGTTATTTGAAAAATTATGTTGTTACATCATGGGTCGACTCTTATAACCCTAGGCACTACAAATGACAAAATAATAATAGAAGAGAGGATTCAGAAATATCTGCAAAAATCTCGGGATGTTACATATGGATAGTTGCTACAGTTAAAGTAATTGTAGAATTCACATATCAATGTGAAATTTAATTACACTATTCTTTGATTCTACTTGTTTCCAAGTTTCTAGTAGGCTATAACTTAACTTCTAGTTACCAAGTCTCGTATGTATCGTGCCTATACTTGCAACTAAGTTTATTCAAATCTAGAATGTCTCGAATTTTGAAGGTTGTCACAGTCTCCCCCGATTGAAAGAATTTTGTCCCGAGATCCAATTTTTGACGTATTATATTAGAACTCAGCCGAAAAACAATTGTATAATTGGAAGGTGGTGACTTGAAGACCTCTATGATTATTTTGGTTTTATTTGTTAGGGGAAGACTCCAGGTTTTAGCTATAATCAAATTAGTGTTTCCCTAATTTGAGTTTTACAGTTTAGACTGTGGGAAATGTGTTTCATGGAATAATGATCCAATCATGGCTACCTAGATGAAAAAGATTATCTAATTAGACATTATCTGCATTTAGAGAGCGCTATAAGTTTTGCTGAAGCACCAACTGTATTGAGTGTTAAGTTGACATTGATCCTTAAGTCGCATTCTAAATCAGCACTAAATGTAAAATTTCAGCCTAATAAAGAAGAGATTAGGGACAATTTGCTCTCTTTCGGGTTGGATATTAAGTCTGGAAAAGGTATACTCTAGCATAAAAAGGGACACCATGAATGAAAGAGAAGCAATTGAGGGTAAGTTCCTAAAGATGCGCACTAAGGGTAGGGAACGAAGTTTTGGTACATATCAAATTTAAAGACTATTTAAGTCCTGTCTACCAAAGAAATTACAAAATGGCCAAAGATTTTTTAAGCTATATTTACTACTATCGTTACTCTCTCTATAATAAAATCATAACTGGAAAATATATATATTTGGAGAGTCATTGTTGCAAATGGAGGCGATGAAAGTTTATGATAAATTAAATAACATTGTCTATATAGCATTTTGAGTGTTTAGAAATGATAAGTAATCTCACTATTATCAAAATGTGTAATAATTCCGAGAGAATGAAGATACATGAGCGACGACCAAAAATGTTCAAGATTAGCACAAGATGCATGCAAGAGGCTTAGGGTTCGAGTTTAGCAATTTAGGGATAGTGGAGGCTGAGAGATTGAAGGTTGAGACGAACTCATGGTGTTTATGTAAGGCGAAAACCCGAAAATTTAGGTTTTACATCTGGCCAGCTTACGCCCAGCATAGGTATGGGTACGCCAAGTATACACACGCGCTTCCCCCACTCCGCCTCTTACCTTTGTACACTGTGCGTACACCATGTACACCCATCGTACCGCCCTCCTCCCAAAAATATGATATTATTACTCAAATAAGCAACAAAATTAAATACTTGACAATTTGGGCATTACAACTCATTAGGGTCAACATGAGGAATGATCTCAGAACGAGCCTTTCTCTTTACTATACAATCAAATGGTTTGACCATGGCAAATCCCTTTCAATTGGGAAGAGAAATATTTCTTAGATAACCAATGTTACCATTGTTAATGTCCATTGAACTCTTGGAATTAGATCATATGAGCATTTTTCTTCAATTTTGTTGTTAAGCATTTTAACTTTAGCAACCATCAACATTTTGGTCTGCTTAATTATGGTTACATCAAAATTCCTCATAAGATAGCTCTCAATGAAATGACCATAAGACTCAGGAAGTGAAATAAGATGAATACCTATTCTTTCCAATTTGTCAATGTACTATTTCATTTTCAAAACATGCGCAAACACAAAATTTCCATCTTGATGTTTACATCCTAATAGGTCTTGAGTTGTTTCATATGTTTCAACTTAAGGAAAAAAATGATGTTGGGAAACTCACTGGAGGAAGAGGTGGAAGAGTTGAAGAAGGACGATGTCCAATTCCACCATTATCCAAGGAAGGAAAGACGATTTCACCTTGAGTCAAATATGGAAGACCATCTCCAAAAGATTGAGTAAAAACAATTCCATAAAAACGAGAAAGACCATATCTATCTTCATACAACATCTAAAAGTGGGAAAATAGTGAATTCAAGTAAGTTAATTTTAATTATTAATTATTAACCAAACTAAATTAAGATTAGGATCTATATTTGTTTTTATAATATGAAGAGGGATGTCATAGTCATATCATGAAGCTATTTTATGTAGGTAGAAACATTTCACTGATTTCAACCATATGAAAATCCTAGATCTTTGAGATGCAATGAATCTTTTCAATGACATGTTCAAACACGGATTATGCTATTACCAATTGTGACTGGGATGCCAAGGATCACAATTAAGATGTGAATTACCATGCAAACCCACTCAAACACCCTCGATGGATTTACAATATCCTATTGATGTGTTGGTTAACCATATACCTCCATCCAAAATTATAAATACTAGTTGTTTCATCATTTCATCTTTATAGTCCCACATTACTATGTCGGTTAACCACACACGATCCACTAACGACTCATAAAAAACATGATGTGCATTTTCATGGATTAGCATAAAACTTCACATTTTTCTGAAGTAACTTGAGTGGGATTTTGAAGAATATTCTAGTACTTTATAGATTATACTTTATTCTTTTTATGTCATATTGAACCCGTTTAGGTAATCACCATCTACCACACAAAGGATCGGTGGGTGAAAAGGACAACCATTCAGCGGTCATTTTATAGGTCATTTCCTTATACCCCTCTTACAGTGTCGCT